ATTATCATGTTGTCTTGGCCAAACACTCCTTGAGTCATATCCTAGAAGATCATATAGGACATTCTCCTTTTATTTACTAAGGATGATAGATTCTATGTTGTGCACTCATAAGTCTCCATACATGATTAACTATATCCAATAATACATATCCAAGTTACATGGTTAGTATATGAATATGTTGTATAGTTAAAACATAGAAGTCCGTGAACAAAACATCTATGATGTCTCAAGTCTAAGGATTTATTGCATAACTATAACTTTAGTATTTAACATTAACAGGTATTTAAAACTTTATATGAAAAATCATACGTTAGTCAATAGTCACGTTCAACACACTAATTCTCTAACAAGCATCCATACACCTGCTTCAGTGTCACTGGTGATTTGGATGAGTCACCTTATTTCAAATATGAGTAAACATAGTGTTTGTTAGTCTATCCAGATTACATAGCACCCACATAATAATCATATGACTAAGAACATTTAAGAGTTAAGTACGAAGAAATATGTCTCCTACCTTGAGAAACTATCTTCTTAACTTATACTATATGGACTTTATCATGCATGTTAAAATAAAATTAACCAGTAACATGATAAATTAACTTGCCTTTTAATATAATAAGTAATGAATATTGTTAGTACAACCCCAAAACATCATCTATATGATTAGTCTTAAAGCATACTACTAACATAAATTGGGTTGATTAGAAACTAAAGATAGAAAGATAGAGAGGACAAACTAGCAATTTGGACAAAAAATAAGTAAAACCCACCTATAAGTGATGTACCCCAATTGAACTCACATAATGGGTCACCCCACCAGACATATTGTAAAAAGTGTCAAAATATTTATTTATTAATGCTAAAAAATTTGAGTTTCACAAAACTAATTGACTTTCCTAATAAGACAAGATCACAATCAATAAGTCATAGACATTTCCTATTTAGTTAAGAACTAAATTTGGTAGGTCTTGATAATTAATTTTGAGCATCTTTGTCTAGTGACTAGTCTACATAAAAAGTACCTAATAGAAGCTACAGTGCAGAGTCTATTTACATATATATAAAAAATACTCTCTCTCTCTCCTTCACTATATCTATATATATATATATATATATATAAGTTGGAAAAGTTCCAACAGTATGTCTGGAAAACAAGCATGAATAGCTAATTACATACCAAAAGAAAAAACATGATTTAAAAGCATAATTATATGTAAGGAAACTCATGAAGCACAAAAAGATTATCTATGGACAATTGAGATTTTGAATGTATGGTCAACATTTGAGGTACCATGCTTAACAAGAAATATAAAAATGATGCCCCTACAACTACTAATAATCAGTCATTGAAGGATTCTAATGCATTCTTCAAAATCAGTCCACATAATTGGAAGACAACAGTTGGCTGACCAATCTAACCCATGAAAAGAAGAGTGTACAGCTTGCCAGAAACTTACATGCACAGTTTGCATTTGCTGTAGGTCTGCAAGTGCTTTTTGCCTAGACTGCAGCAAGGAAAGAAAGAATTAAGCAAACTTTGGTTATAACTTACTACTGAACATGTCGAGCACATGTAATAATTTAAAGGTAAATTTTCAAATCTTTTACATTACTACTAACATGAAAATTGTTAGTTCATCCTCTATTCTACATAGAAAAAGATAATTTTGTAAAGAAAATGGATGACCTCGTGGGATTTGTCAGCAAGTAAAAACTAGTAGCATGCTTCATTTTCTGCCAACAAGCAATATAACTAAATAAATAAAATAAAAGCTGAGTGCCTCATTTATTTTTAGAACAGTATTCACAAACTTAACAGCAATGAGAAGTTCTGAGGAGAGATCCAAAAAAGCTGCTGATAATGAAGACTGATCCTCCCACATATATCTCTCAACATCAGCAACAAACTGAACCTCAACGAGTGCGCGCTCTTACACCATCAAATCAGAAGTCTAGAGACATCAATACATATGCGGCAATAAGGACCATTAACATTGGCATTAAAATGACCACTTATCCAACAACACTGTGATCCAGAAGAAAAGATACCTACATTATAACTGAAAGCATGGGCACAGACTGCCCTAATCTCAACAAGTCAAATTCACCTGACTCAGATTAGTAACACCATTTAATCTGAATCCAACTTTTTGTTACTTTTCTTAATCCAGGCTTGAGCTAAACAAAGTGTACTTCTTCTATGAGGATTCTCCCTGGCAATTGAGAACTATTTTTGAAGTGAAGCCTTAGGTGCAAAACATAAAAAGGTAGATAAGGTTTGACCTAAACAATTTAATTGTACAACATAAGTGAATGGAGAGAGAGAGAGAGACAAAATACGAAGAGTAGGACAATTACCACCTCCAAAATATCCATTCCCACCCCCATTAAACTCTCTAGTTTAAGATAATAAGTCCAATCCATTCTACACCCAATCCACCAGCCATTAATATCACCTCAATCATAACTAAACCCTTAGTGCTTAAGCTTACCCCAATGTACTATCAATTAATATGTTAAATTTATTATTCCCAACCAACCAATCAGGGGTGGAGCAATGTGGGAAAGTGGGCAGTTGCCCCCCACTAAATTTTTAGAATTAGTCCATATATGTATTGACTTACAAATAGAACTATGATTAATTTATTATTTTCCCCCTGAAGTTCTTGAAAATTTGTGCACCATTCCAAATAATTTGTGTTTCTGGTAAGTTAGTGGTCCACTGGCCACCTGAACTTATATATATCACAAACAATACCTGAAGTTCTTGAAAATTTGTGCACCGTTCCTAATAATTTTTGTTTCTGGTNTCTGGTAAGTTAGTGGTCCACTGGCCACCTGAACTTATATATATCACAAACAATACCGGAAGTTCTTGAAAATTTGTGCACCGTTCCTAATAATTTTTGTTTCTGGTAAGTTAGTGGTCCACTGGCCACCTGAACGTATATATATCACAAACAATACCTGAAGTTCTTGAAAATTTGTGCACCGTTCCTAATAATTTTTATTTCTGGCAAGTTAGTGGTCCACCGGCCACCTGAACTTATATATATCACAAACAATACCTTAACCATTTAATACAATTCCTTTTTTTGATATTAGAGTATAGTTGTCGATTCTGTTTTGGTAAATTAGTAGTTTGTAACCTAGTAACACGAAAATAGATACAAATGGTAATTTATCAATACGATCAAAAAGTAAATTGCTGAGAAATTCTATCATAAAAAATGAACAACTATAGACGATTCTTAATATTTAACATTCCTGTCATGTTCAAATTTACTGTTAAAGAGTTGTTGCTTGTGTGCTCATATTTTGTTATTGCTGAACTGAAATTTTTTTATTTTTAAAATAATTAAATCTTTGATCTTGTTATATTTCTCCTAATTCAACTAATGAATTTTTTAACATGAACATAACACCTCATTAAGTCCATTCATTCATATTTTTGCCCCCTCAAAGATGGAATCCTTGCTCCGCCCCTGCAACCAATTGGTATTTTCTGACTGTTTTCGTTGATCGTGTCATGCTTCTGACAAAACTTGAACGTTATTAGGATTTAAATAAACAAAGCTATTAGAATTGGACCTACAGTGTGATGGTGCAGTAGATTATTTTGGATGCATCACCTCAGATATAATGAACACATGCTGCTCAGTAACAGGATGCAAATCCTATTGACTTCCATATTATTAAAGGAGTGGCAGGGAGACTAATGTTGTCCGCACGGTAACAGGATGCAAATCCTTTTGATTTTTACTTCATTGTGGATTTAGTCTCACTCATGTCTTGGCTTAATGATTTACATTTGGATTATAGGTCACCTGATAAAATAAGTTGGGCTATTGATTCTTCAAGTAGTTTCTCTTGCAAGTCTTTTTTTGAATCATTGATTGATGTAAGATTCGTGTCTACTTTCTGTTCCATCCTTAATGAAATGGCTAAGGTGCCTATTAAAGTGCAAATTTATGCATGGACTATTGCTTATGGGAGGGTAATACCAATGACAAACTTCAAGGAGAAGGCATCATGCTTGTCTTTCTCCACAGTAAGACATAGGATTCCCACCATCAAGATTTGTAGGTAAACTGAAGTCCAAATGATTGGAGAGGAAAAAGAAAAGGTCATGTAGGCAATTGAAGTACTATGAACACGAGACGAGATATATACGAGGAAAAATCAATGACAATGAAGAATCTTCGATCCACACATCCTCCGAAAAGCAAGTATGCTCACCATTACCCACAACAGCTAATAAGATATTTTGAGGAAACCATGATAAAACCTAAGAAATGAAGTTCCATGGGCAACAGAATGTTCACATTAGAATCCCATTCATTAGCCTATCTAACCAAATTTGCTTTGTAACAGAAACACAAAGTGAAGTTTTTTTTTTTGGCAAGTAACACAAGAGAAATTTACTCTAAAGGAAATCTCCATAACCAATTTCCAGTAAGGGACACATTTCAAGCAATCAAACTCCCCAAACCCCTACCACCTTTATCCCTACGTTGAGGAACCAAATCCCAGTTTGACAGATGATCTGTCTTCAGTTCCCACTTACCTACCAAATAAATTCTCTCATCAAATTTCCAATTCTACATGAACTTTAGTGAATGTTTCAAAACATCAAATTATGTTGATGGAAAACAATATTAACCGAACATAACTGTGATTAAACTATTTTACCAATCAAACATATNTCAAATTTCCAATTCTACATGAACTTTAGTGAATGTTTCAAAACATCAAATTATGTTAATGGAAAACAATATTAACCGAACATAACTGTGATTAAACTATTTTACCAATCAAACAATTTTTTTTAGCAGTTAATGGCCATTTATTTTTCAGAGTGCCCGCACAAGGAGGTGCAACTCACTTGCAAAAACAAAAATTGTGTTCGGGAATATTGGCTAGATATATATTTATTATTTGCATGCACGATCGACTAAAAATTGACGTTGATCTAAGAAAATGTAAGGCAAAAAAAATTAACCTACCGATTGGTTGGTAGCCCATCTCTCGTAATAATGAGTATATCTTTCTAAAGAATTCTTGGCCATCTCTCTTCGTTTCTCAGTTTCGTCATACTGTAAATATGGAACATATTTGATACATAAAGTGAGTAGGTCAAAATATAATGCCATGAATGCAATTTCAGCTGCATGCAGGAAAAATGTCAAAATTAAAGAGAAATGTAAAAACTAGAGGATATTACCACTCCCCCTTGTTTTGCTGCCTCATAACGGTTGCATGCATAAAAACCACCTGTTCTCTCACCATGATCTGACCATGCACCAAGGCAGAGCCTGCAAGCATAAAATAACAGATGACATGCATTATGAAGAATTAATGAAAAGAACTCTAGAGAACTTATTCCTGAGACCAAAGGAGGAAGACTAATTACTAAAAATAGAAACAGAGATATTGCACTGAATAAGAAGCATAAGTGACTCGAAAATACGTCAAGATTGATTTAACAATCTTTTTAGTAAGGAGCTTATCTACTAAAATTTCTGACATAGAAGTGATGTGCTGAGAACTACAAAGCAGATAATGGAAACTGACAAAAGTAGACAAGTACAGTCATTCAGAGTAAAATTAAATTGACTTACCAGCAAAACTCGAATTTACAAGGTGGTGTGCATGTAATATGCATACAACCTTGGTTCTTCTCGATTGGGCGCTTGCACTTTGGACAAGGCTTGGAATTAGCTAATATCCTGAAATGCCATGACAATAATACAATTTAGCGAGACACACTATATAAAAAATCAATTATTGCAAATTACAAAATATCTAGAGAACCAATTACAATATTTAGATGGTGTTTGGCATAGCTTAAAAAAAAAGTGTTTACTAGAATTTTTGACATATCATAGGTACTTTTAACAAAAAATAGTGTTTGGATCAATTTTTTTTTTAAAAAACACTTACATAAGTTATTAAGAGAAGTAAAAAAAATTAATGTTTAATTCTGATAAATGTTTTGAAATAAAACACTTTCGTCTCACCCTCACTCCCCCCGATCTTCGCACCCTCACTCCCCCAATCTCTCCCAATATCGTCAAAACTATGTCAATATGTAGCCACCACCGAATACCGATGACCAAACCTTTTTCTATTATGTCGACAACCATTAACAACGCCGGAGAATTCCATTTACGACAGCCGGAGCAGCCCTCTCTCTCACCTGTCGTTGATATGACATCTGATGTAGCAATGCATGGTGAACATATCATTTCCTTGATGGAGGGGGATACAGCAGCATTCACAAAGATATCTTTTGTTGGTTTATAATGTGGTGTTTGCTTTTTATTGTTTGGTTTCAGATTTTCTTTTTGCTTCAATGATCAAATCATCATTGCAGAGGAGGATCGCATTCTATCAAAGCAAGGCAGTCAATTTGTGCTGTTTAAGAGGTATTTATGATTTTTTGATGCTTTGTTGATTTCAGCTAATGAAATAAAGTTGCTATTAACAGTAGTAGTATATTCACTTAGTAAGCACAAGATTGGTAGATGACAAATGCATGGAGAGTGAACATGAACCACCTAAAATTGGGCCAAGTGGTTGGAATTACAACCTGACATGCAATAAACTATGATAGGTGATTATTGAATGAAAGTTTTTTCACGAATCATCTACCAATGAATATGCATGTAAAGTGTTTGATAAAATGAGCTCCCAATCTATGGATTTTTAATACTGGATGTGGAGAGTGGTTGAAAGTATTCATGAACTTATTCCTCAATCCTTTCTCCATTTTCTAATGTGAACTCAGAAAGATTTTCCTTTTTCTGTGGAATGTATCAGGGCAATATTTGCATCAAAGAGTAGAAGCTTACACATGGGTGATGAAGAAATCCATTTTCTGGTTGTGTATTATATAATTCATATTGTGTCTATAATTAAAATAAAAAACCCGCTGTAATCTTCGAATTTTGAACTATGACTTCCATTTTAATACTCTTTTCTTTATGGACATGGGTATGGTTCATTATTGTTTCTGCATCACCTTCATTATCGGTCTTGCTGCCCCAACAAGCACTTTCCTTTATTTTTCCTATCCAAATAGATAAGGAATTTTGTTATCTTCGTCTATTGCAGGAAGGTTCCCACATCAAAATGCTTATGGGATACAACATACAAGTATACAACCCTCATTACTAAGACTTAGATTTTGCTTGTGAAATAATGTTGTATTCAAGGATCGAAATATCTTTTCGAAGTACTGTTTTGGTCTGCTCGAAAATGGAAACGTTCCGGAAACGCAATGGAAACACGTAAAAATACAAATACAGTCCATTTATTTATAAAGATACACTTAATAATTGGTTAATTGAGCATGTTTCATGGGTTAATGTCCATTTATACAAGATAACATTAAGTTGGAGGGGAAAAAATGTTTGACACGAGGCGGTAATCAATTCAATTAATTTCACACAATTAATTTTCATAAAACAAACACATTTTTACATGTATATATGACCATTTTAAATTAAATATGGCATCTGTAACACTTNTTTGGTCTGCTCGAAAATGGAAACGTTCCGGAAACGCAATGGAAACACGTAAAAATAGTTGGAGGGGAAAAAAGGTTTGACACGAGGCGGTAATCAATTCAATTAATTTCACACAATTAATTTTCATAAAACAAACACATTTTTACATGCATATATGACCATTTTAAATTAAATATGGCATCTGTAACACTATTAAATTAAAATGAGTACAAATTTATTATTTGCATGAAATTATAATACTAAATTATTAATTTAAATTGTGTCATCAAATTACTAAATAATGTAATATTGCATGAACAATTTTTACAAACATAAATACTTAATTTTAGATATTAAATATACCATAAATTAATTACAGTTTATTTTGATAAGTTAATTAACAATAATAAGCTATTTATTAATTATAGAGGCTATTAACATTATACAGGAAAAAAGGGGGGCTGAAATGGCATTAATGTTAACTAAAACAAAATAAAAAAGGGGGAAACAAAGAACAATGATAAAAAAAATATATATATACAGGATAAGATAGATGTTGAGCATCAGTCTCAACGAAAGAGAAAAGAGAGAGAGAACACATTCGGTCGAGAGTCAACAACTCACAACGTCAAAACAAGGAGAGAGAGAAGAATAACATCTAGAGGCAACTGAACTCCATCAGAGAAGGACAAAAGAGAGAAGGGACATACCTAGAGGCGATCTAGGTCATGGGATTGAAGGAGGCCTAGATCTGCTTAGATCTAATCGCAGGGAAATAAGTTATTGAGCTCTTCTTCTTCGATTTCTTCTGAGTGTGTTCTATATCTGTGTATTTATCTCTCTCTCCCTTGGGCAAAATCTGAATATTCTTCTCTGTCATTCCCTTTTTTTTTTTGCTTGGTGTTGGAGGACCTATGATTTCTAAGAAGAATCTAAAATTTTTACTAGGTTTCTACCACTGTTTCGGTCAAAACGTCACTGTTTCGACTGAAACGGTCCAAAACAATGATGTTTCGCTTGAAACAGTAGAATTTTGGGATTCCACCAATGTTTCGTGTCAGTGTGTTGAAAATCCGAAACATTTCAAACGTGTCGACACGAGATTTCGATCCTTTGTTGTAGTAGTAAATAGAAACACAAACCTCTTCCCCTTTGTTTCCTCTTATCTGTGTGGGAATTGAGCATTTTGTGAAGCTTGATGGTTAGCATTGAAATTACGATGCCGGCTTTTCCACATTGTTAGGATTGGTTTTTTGAAGGTTCTTGTCATTTTCTTCATATTGTAAGCTTCCATTGCATATGCATTTTAATTTAAGCATAAACTCATTGCATAGAAGGAAGTGATTTCCGGTAGTGAACTCAACTGTGGCCTCAAAAAAACTCTTATCTTACATTGAGATTGTTTTTTTAATAAATGGAATTTTAATAATGACAACCTTCCTCAATTCTTTCACCACTTAAAACATAGTTGCAAGACTCAATATAGAGCAAACCAAAGTATCCACATCAACGCATAGGCGATTTTTTTTTTTGGGTCTTCTATCCGACTTTTTGTTGAGCCTTTTTGTTTAGCTAATTTTAAATAAGGGGTCTCATCTCCTTACTCGTTTCAATTAATGCCGCCATTAACATCCGTCTTAAGTGGGTCATAAATAATAAGTGCCAACAATATTCGATAAGTTAATAGATTTTGTCAAATTATTTGAACTATAAATTTGATCTTAAATTTAGTCCCTTTAATATTTATGTTCAACAGTACCCAACTGGAAAAGGGAGCAACTTCGATTCCATTGCTCACATTCTTAGGTACCCCCTTTGCACGAAACAAGTAGATAGCTAGGGAAGGAGGGAATGGATACAAGTTTTGTTTTAATATTGATCTTTTTTTTTTTGGCTTGTTGTAGAGATTATATGCATTCCATCTTGAATAGCTTGAAAGTCTAAAGACTCACTAGAGTATTACATGACTTCTATGTTGCATTTATTTGTCAATCTTCTGAGAAATGTTGTCCGTGTAGGCTTTATGAATTGAATATATTGATGTGTACATAGTTTGTATGGGGTTTGAGTCAAATTCTAGTTCTTTTTATTGCAACTGAAGGCAATCGAAGCAAGCTCAATTGTAGTATCTAAAAGATCATCTCCAATTGGAACAACAGTGAGGATGAAAGTAGTCGGAGCCATGCCCTACGCGTGGAGTATCTCATTGATTTCACTATGATGCTAAATTTTGTAATGGATATATTGATTGATGTGTTGCAATCAAAATTTTATTTGAAATGATTGTATTCATTAATTTGAAAATCTATCCTGCTTTTCTTGATATATGTTTTTAGTTGAAATCAGAGAAATGAAAAAATGTCAGTTTACTGCTACAATATATTTGCGACATGTACTGCAGTCGTAAAAATAGTTGTGACAGGATTTGCCGTCATAGGTACCTTTTGAGGCATCACTTATTGATATGCAATGAATGCCATTGCAAAAAAATCACACAAACTGGGCAAAAAACCTTCTTACTTGTGGTAACAATCAATTAAGAGTACTAGTTTGGGTCTCGAATTGTTTGATAATGTTTCTAAATCATGAGTACCTTATGGTTCACCTTTCATTTTGTGAATTTCTATAAACATTTGATAAATTACCACTAAAATAGTATCATGGGATAACCATTGATGAGTTTTAACTACATATATATACACACACAATTGTGAAGGGTATATTTGTAATTGTGATACAAATAAGTATTTTTTTGATTGACCATCGAATTTTTGTAAAATCATTTTTTAAGTGCTCTTTTNGTGTGGTGTGTTGTGGGCCAAGTAATTGGGAAGTATAAAAGGGGAAAAAAGTAATATTTTCTTCTCCACATTCAGCCAAACACTTCCAGAAATTGAGAGAAAGAGAGGAGAAATCTTCAAATTTTTCAACTCTTCTTCCTCCGATCTACAAAGATCTAACCTTCATATCTCTTCGGACCAAGAACAAAGGTTATTCTACGTGATGAGAGTTACGCTTACATACCAAAGATCGCCGGTTTCGTCACAATCTCAAAGACGGGAGTCTTGGGATCAAAGCTTTGAAGCTTGACTTGGGATCTTCGGGTCTTCTTATATGCGATATTACACTATAAAAGGTAGGGTTCTTTTCCTAACTAGATTTATATCCAATCTAGGGTTGAAATATGAAATGGGTAAGGTGTTAGACATGAANTTCTTTTCCTAACTAGATTTATATCCAATCTAGGGTTGAAATATGAAATGGGTAAGGTGTTAGACATGAAATCTCATGTATAACAAATGCCTAGGGTGTTAGAAAATGGAAATGGGTATAAAAATATGTTTGTACCAAACCTTGCACGATTTGATGTTGATGAAATTGCTTGCCCTGAAATTTCATGACGAATTGTGTTGATTTGGGCATGCTATGTGTGCACATAATCTTTATGCCTTATAGATGTTTGATAAAATGCTATGGTTGATTAAATGTGTTGTGTATAGAATATGCTATAAGATGCTTGGTGGTGTTGTGGATTGTGATTATATGTTTTATAGTATAATTGACAATTGAAAAATGTTGGTAGACATTAGATATGTTCATTATATTCTCATGATGTGATGAATATGATATGGTAATTGTAATTGTACATTACATTTACATACACACGGGTAACATCGTATTCGTGGTCATTTGATACGAGTGTGGGTGTGTTTGCATATTTTGATCAAACNTAAGAG